GCCTCTATCGACAACATGGAAATCGAGATATCAATATGTCCCATGGTGTCAACAGACAGCGGAGCTTCGCATCACGCCCTCATGAAGCCACTGGGCCAATTATATGGACGTGCACGACCGGATCTCACCCGATCCAGATATCCAGGGGCATCATATGCGCCAATCCGTGAACATCTCCAGCGGAGAATTCCGGAACTCGTCGATGGCTAGATCGATGAAGGCCGAGATCAGCAGAACGACGCCTTGCGGGAGAAGAGCACTAGAGCCTCCTTAATCGAGTCCATGCCTGACGGTATAGGGACCTGCAATCGCCGGATCTCGAGGTTCCAGATCAATGGAAACCGCGCCCTGCACCTTGCCGGCCGCCCCTGTTGCGCTGGCTTAGCACCTCCAGGCCTCCATCCCGCGATGCAGAATCCTCGCGCCCACCGCCTAGGCCGGATCGCATAGAATCTGCAGGATTCCATTGGGCGAAGAAGTTCAGCCGCCATTGTCGAGGCAGGGGACCGAGCCCTTCGAGCCCGTGTTCGGCAGCAGATGGGCGACGCAAGAGAGCGCACAACAGGGGGCGAGCCCTGCGAGCCCGCGTCCGGCAGCAGAAGGCCCAGCGGCAGATCAAGCCGACACACAGATGCGGTGTCAGGCAATGGGATCTCGTGGTGGGGGAAGGGAAAAAGCAGGGAAATGGGGTTCCTCGCCGTTATGATTTATGTAGTTGGACTTGTGGAGTTCACTGGAGATGTTAGAAATTTGATGATTGTTAGAGCAGTTCTTTTAGTTTCGACCATATGTTTCCTACTACTACCATGGTTTTCAATTGTCAAATTTCTCATTACTTGGACTGCTTTGCAGAAACAAGGCCTAAAAAACAAACAGCGCCTGCACGCAATGTTGTTGTCGCTGGTGAAAATTGGTGTCTTTCGTCACACAAGTCGACAGGGGCGGTTGGTGCATCGGCTGGATTAATCTTGCTTGGGACAGGGCTGGGATGTGTTTCGAGTATCAGGTTGGCATTTTAAGTAGCTGGGCATTTTAAGTAGCTGTAGCTTCTGTTGCTTTGATAGCTAGGTTGTCTTATTGAGCCTTTGGATATTGTGTTATTAGTTTTCTGATGCGCTAATGGTGGATTCTCAGGTGCTGGGTGTGCCAGACAAGTATGGATACGGGGACTAGTCGCCCGAAGATTATGAAGTGCTTCTGATAAGTTTGTCCTTGAATGCACATGAGTTTGTGTTTATGAATTCAGATTTGGTGGCTTTCTGCTGTCCTGCGACAGAGTTCGCCATGTATGTTGTTGGACATATATTTCGTCCCGTTCGAGTTTGGCATCTACTTCGCAAAACTTAATCATCGTCCTTCACACCGACACAAGACCAGCTTCCCCTTTTATAATTTATTTCACATGTTAGTATACATTTGTTAGCATGAACAGTATCATCACTCATAAGTTACATGACTATTATCCTTGTTTTGTTTCGAGTGCTTCTGCATAAATAAACAACTTGATGATGTTTGTGTTCAATTTATGCGTGCTAATCTTAGCAAGAAAATAATAATAATAGAATGTTGCATTTTACTCCTAATACTTCGTTTGGTGTATACTCTTTGCGGATGATGTGGTGCTAGTTGATGATAGTCGGACAGGGGTAAATAGCAAGTTAGAGTTATGGAGACAAACCTTGCTCGTCTCCCTCCCTCCCTCTCTCCCCCGCCGCCACCCGCGAAGCGCCGGGGAGGGCCCCAAATCCCCGCCGCCGAACACCCCTCCGCCTCCCCCTCCTCCCTCGCCGCCGCCAAAGGGCGCGGCCGGGCTAAGCCCGGTCGTCGCTGCCGACGGCGGTGCCTTCTCGTCCCCCGCGCGTGGGGGTTCGCGCGAACCCGATCCCGCGGGCGGGGCGCTGCGCTCGGTGTCAGGCGTGGCAGCACGGCGGCGCCCCGGAGCAGGCCGGCGATGGTGGCGTGGCGTCGGGCGGCGGATGGCATGGTGGCGGTGCGGGCTGGTGTGGCGACAGCGGCGGTGCTCCGGCAGCGCCTCGGCGTCGCGTCACGCGCTGTGGGTTGTGGCTGACCGGGTCACGGGCGACCTCTCGCCGTGGTCTCTGGTGGGGGGCGGCGCGGCAGCGGAGGTGGTGAGCTGCTCCCTCCCAGTCGGGCCCTCGCGGCTAGGTGGCGGCGCTCGACTTGGGCGGGTCCCCCTGGTGGCGTCTCTGGGCGGCGACGGCGACAGCTCGGCCACGCTCCCTCTCCGGCGTCTGGCGGCGGCCGATGCCTCCCGGTGCCTTAGGCCTTCGACGCGGGGGGCGGAACTCAGTTTCAGGGGGGGAGCTGGAGCCGGCAAGGCGTCGGTCGTGGCCATGAGCCACTTCTCCACCTTCCCCTTCCCCCGGTCGATGTATGCTCGCGGCCCCTCCCGTGGCAGCTGGCCGCCGGCGATTCTGGAGGTTGTTGGGGTTGCAATCTGAGCAAAGTCATGGCCTTTGGTTGCTACAGGGTGGTCTCATGGCGGGGCGGCGGCCCTGGCGGTGGGAGTCGTACGTTGGTCGTGGGCGGGCTGCGTGGCTCGAATGAGGGCAGGCATCCATGGCGGCTTGGGCGGCATGGCTGCGGGTGTTGGCGGACCGGGGCGACGGAAGTGATGAAGCACCGGGGTACATCATCTACCAAGTCTGTGTACTGGTAGACGGTGACGGCGTCCGTGGACGTCGTGTCCTCCTTGCAGGCTCCGTCGTGGTGCTTCTACCCCTTTCATCTTACTCCGGGTGAAAACTCGATCCTCGGATCGGACGGTGGCAGCATTCGTGGTCGTGCCCTTCCTGGAGGCACTGTCTTGGAGTCCTCGGTCCGGCATATCCGTTACACATCCTCCCGGACGATCGCCCCTCGGTGGTGTTCTCCGTCGGCTCTAAGCGGATTCGTTTTGCTCATCTTGTAGGTGCTTTGTAGTCATTGTTGTTGTGTGTCGGTGCCAGGCATTCATGTATCTTGCCTTGGGTGTGTGGTGTGCGTTTGTATCGGATGCTTTGTTGTTGTGGTTCGTGCTTTATAATATAAAGCGGGGGAAACCCTTTTTCATACAGGGCAAAAGAAACAAATGCCGACAACAGCGGATCAACAAAAACGAAGAAGCCTCGCGATCGCTGCGCCCACCAGGATCTTCCACCAGGCTCCAAGACTCCGAAGCGCCGGTACCTATCAACACCTCCAAGAAGTATCGTGATGATGACGATGCTGCTGCCAAGGATTTCCCCTGGTACACAAAGAGGCGAGAGTAAGGGTAGCCCTCGACACCCTTCCGGAAGATCAGGTGGCACCCACAGGCGCCACCGCGTCGGTGTCGGCCATGCCGACAGGGGTTTTCCCCAATCCCAACCCGCACCTCGGGCGTTCCGGAGCCTGCCACCAAACCAACCACCACCCTGCGCCAACGTGGTCATGAGGCCCCCACGCCGTCTCACCACGACACTGCAAAGTGAGGACAACACGGCGAAGAATCAGAGCCGGGACTAGGGCATCGGCACCGTCGGCACGCGGGAGGGCCCCACCTCCACCGTCAGCGACGGTAGCCGTCTGGACGCAATAGTAGGAGCACACCAGGCCAGTGGGCCCACAGGCCCGGCCGAGCCCTCGTGGGCCCGTAAAGCTCCCGCCATCGCGCTACTGCCAGCACGCCGTCGGCGCAGCTGCCCCATATCCGAGCCACTCCTCCTCCTCACCGCGCCGCAGACAACGATGCCACGCCGGGGGGGCGGCCCGCTAGGACCCAGATGGGGCCAGCCGGGCCCAGATCTGGGTCGGGGGCGTGACGCCGGCCACCCAGCACCACCACGCCGCCTCGCCGCCAAGGAGCAGCGCCGACACCACGCCTGCCGCCGGCCGTCGGACCGCAGCCAAGCTGGGCTGCACCGTCACCGCCTCCCTGCCCCGGGAAGGGAGCACGCGCACGCGGGGACGAGAAGGCCCGCCGCCGCTGGCACCACCCGAGCCAGCGCCGGGGGCGTCTGCCGGCGGCGGCGGGGGGAGACTGGGGAGAAGGGGGCCCGCGGGTGAGGAGCTCGAGCTCCGCCCCGGCCACCTCCTGGGGAGGCGGCGGGAGACGGATCTGGATGGGGGAAGGGGGGAGGGCTGAAGGGAACGGAGGCGGGGCGCGAGGCCGGCGGCCGGCGGCGGCGGGAGGGGAGGAGGGGGAACCCTAGCTGCCTAGTCGCGGGAGAGGAGCGGGAGGGGGCAACCAACCTGTAATTCAACCTGCTTACGCTTATCAGTACATACACACCCCAGCTACTTAGTGATCTAAATGATCTTATATTTCTGAGTACCTACAAAATACTATTATAATATAATCTGTGCTTGAGCCAATCTATATATAATCTCTGCTTTCGATTACAAACGAAAAACAAAAAACATTACATTTATTTTTACATAATAATAACAAGAGAGTTTTGGTAGCAATTAAGTGCATGATAAAACCTAGTCTACTACTCCCTCCGTTCCAAAATAGATGACTCAATTTTATACTAACTTTAGTATAAAGTTGGGTCATCTATTTTAGAACGGAGGGAGTAGATAAGAGGAGCAAATTGTTGGCTCCCTTCGAAGGGATTACAATTAAATTACATGACAATACCGGGCCGGGCCCTAATTCAAAGTGTTCCACGCTGCAAGGCAGACGCTCCTTTGAAGTGGCATACATATACAGATACATGTGGCTTTGAAGGGCCAACTCAACTTGGAAGCTTTTGTTGCATATGACAACGGAAATTAAACAACAGCTAGCATCAGATGGAGAAAGCCTGAAGAAGAAGAGCCATGCATAGATATATAGTTGAAGATGGTTGCAGATAGATTATATTGAGGCAGTCGTTAATTACGATGATGAAATAACCAGCCAGCCAACCTGCAAATTAGGAAGATATATAGTTAGCTAGTGGCCGTAATAAATGGAAAACAAGGAAATTAAGAGCCAAGAGTATTACCTCAGCAATACTCGTCAAGAAACCCAATCACGCTTCTTCCTGGATCTCGCCAGTCGTCCCACTGCCGGAAACCTTTCCGCTCTCGTTCCTTGGAAAAGTCTCTTCCTCCTCCTGGATCTCGCCACTCCCACTATTTGGAGTGTCGTCGATCTTGCTTGTCCCGCTGCTGGAAGCCTGTGCGCTCTCCTTGATTGCTGCAAATTCCTCTTTCTCGCGGCCAGTGACAAGAAAGTAGATCTTGTTGGGATGCTCCTGGGCTTCTTTCCTGGCCATGTCAATCATGTCGCTCATGCACGGGCTCCTGCTCTCTGCTGCTCCTCCATACCATTCCTCGTTGCATCTAAATTCGACCCACCGGAGGCACCCGAGGTGCTTGATACCCAGCTGAGGGTCTACTTTATTTGCAGCTGGTGGTGGGCCACCGTAGAACTGGAACTCGAACACAAGCATATCCAGCATAGGCATCGCTCCTTCCTGGAAGGTGACAACCGGTGGCACGCGGCTGTCAACAACGAGTCCGTAGAGCCTTGGGAAACCTTCACCGCTGATGGTTATGGGATCTCTCGGGACGACCTCCAGCCTTAGCGTAAGGTCACCCAGGTGAGGCATCTCCCGCAGAATCTTGAGATCCTGCTCCTCCTCTAGTTTGCATATCCTGATATCCAAGGAGCGAAGGTCGTTGAAGTGATCCTTGATCCACTGGGGAATGTGCATGTGTTTTGTGCCAACAATTAGGCCCCCCGTATCACCTTCAAAACGAAGCATTTTAATGAACAGGATCTCCGTGGCTAGCACACAAGACACAAGATCACTATTCTTCCAAGCTTGGCGGACGCACTCGGGCACTCCCTCCAATTTTGAAAGCTGACCTGCTTCCCACGGTAGTACACCGATGGTCTCATTCAAATCCAAAATTTTCAGCTTCTTTAGCCCCCCGATTTCTCTTGGTAGCTTTACCACCCCTGTAGCACTCAAGAGCAGTCGTTCCAGATTCTGCAGATTCCCAATCTCACGAGGCAGCTCTGTGAGCCTGGGGCTGTAAATCAGGTCAAGAGTCTCCAAATTCTGGAGGTTACCGATCTCACTTGGCAGCTTTGTGATCCATGTCCAACATGCCTTCAGGGTTTTCAAATGCTGCAATTTCCCAATCTCCCGTGGTAGAGTGGTCATCCCTTCGCTACCACCAAGGTCCAGAGTCTCTAAATGCTGCAGGTCCCCGATCTCCCTGGGCAGCTCCCTGAGCCCTGGGCACATCACGTCTAGAGTCTTCAACTTCTTCAGTCTCCCGATGATCTCCCTAGGCAGCTCTGTGATATCTGTTCCACTCATGCACAATATCTCTAAATTCTGCAGGTCTCCGATCTCTATGGGCAACTCCGTGATCCTTGGGTGAAAACTCACATATAGATTCTTCAACTTCTTGAGTCTCCCAATCTCACGGGGTAGCTCTCTGATCCACATACCTCTTACGTTTAGAGTCTCGAGATAGTGTAGCCTCACTATTTCTAGTGGTAGCTCACTAATTCCCAATCCCTTTAGACCAAATAGGTGCTTCACACGGAGCAGTCCACAAATATCCTTCACATGATGATTCCCAAGAGCCTTTTCAAACTGAAGATCCAACACTCGCACGCGTTCCAACTTCTCAAAGGGGAGTCCCGGAGGAGCTTGAAAAACAACAAGAGATCGAATCTGAGACCAGTCCAATCCAGAGAAGGGTTCCACCCCCTCCAGTGCACCATCATCACCTGAATGCTTGTCAATACATAGCCGATGGATTCGACAGGGATATGACGATGTGATGTCGGAACTGTAAGTAACGAAATTATCTTCATGTGATTTCCATCTAAGGAAATTTCGCATCATCGAATTCAATTGGTAGATACTGGCATGATTCTGCTGCATCAATAAACCTCTGTCGCAAAGCTCTTCAAAATATCCTTCTGCTTCATCCACTTTATAAGTAAATCCTTCAGCGACCCATCGCATCACCAGTTGATCCCTGTAAAATTGGTAATTCTCAGGGTATATACTACAGTATAGCAAGCAAGTCTTCAACATATGGTGAGGAAGATCGGCGTAGCCAAGCTGCAAACTCTCTACCAACGGTTCAAACCCTGGAGTGTTCTGAATTCCACTTCGCTTAACTTGCTTCTCAATCATATCTTGCACATCACATGCATTTACATGCACACCTAGCTGTTCTTGTTCCTCTCGGACTATTCTCATTGCTGAAAACATGCAAAGCAGTGCTAACGGCACACCACCACACATGTGCACAATAGGATGGTCACAGTCAAAACCTTCGCCAACCATGTGAAGCTTCATCCAAGCAGCAAGATCTTTCTCACCAAATGCGTAGAGCCATTTTCTGTTTCTGCGATTCCGTTCAGGATTCATTCTGATGTAGAGCTTGTTAGTAATGAAGTCATCTCTTGGTACAGAATGAATACGAGTTGTCATGACAATTCTGCTGCCCAGATTATTTTCTGGAAAAGACTTGCTGATGACATCCCATTCTCCACGATGCCATATGTCATCAATTATTACTATGTACCTACGCAAGTTGGTTGCACAAGAATACGATAGTTAGTAGACGTCAGACGCCGCATGAGGCTATAAATTTGTTCTTGATTAGTTCACATTCTACATCGTATATATATATAGTTGTGGCCAATCAATTGACTGCATGAGAACATGCGCACGTTAACATGCCACAGCCCCCCAGCTTCTTTGTAGCTATAGCAAGGCTGCCCGAGCCATGCTACGGAACGGAAAGGTCATCAATATAATGGCAATTGCATGGGTGTGTTGTTTCAGATATACTATATATTCACGATGGACATCGGCATCTGCCCCCACTTTCCCATTTTCGGTCAACTTTACTCTCTTGCTTGCTATCAATGATCTGTCCCGCACCCTTATCCTATATAGACATGTGGAGCCTTTTTCCTATTTAATTATTTTCGATGGTGACCGTACCCTTATCTATCTTTTTTCATCTTTCATAGAGCAACAACAACAGGGGACAGATTGTATTGGTGAAGTCTTGCACAGAAAAAAGAAGACCTTTATTGAAAGCAGAGGAGAAGATGGAGTTTGTAGTGGGTGCTTCGGAAGCCACCATGAGATCTCTCCTTGGCAAGCTGGGCGGCCTCCTTGCCCAAGAGTACACTTTGATCCGGGGTGTCCGCGGTGACATCCAGTACATCAACGACGAGCTCGCCTGCATGCAGGCCTTTCTTGGGGACCTCGGTTCTGCCCTGGACGACCATGATCGCCGGCTCAAGAACTGGATGAAGCAGATCCGTGACATGGCATATGACATGGAAGACTGCATCGATGATTTTGCTCATCGGCTCCCTCAAGACTCCCTCAGCGATGCAAGATGCTCTTTCATCGTGACGGCAATCTACGAGGTATGGACATTCTGGCCTCGCCGAGACATTGCTTCCAAGATTGCCGAGCTCAAGGTCTGGGCACAATACATTGCTGAGCGACGCAACAGATATGGAGTAAACAACCCAAACCCAAGAACAAGCTCTGGAGCCGGAGCAACCCATGCTGTTACATATGGCATTGCTGAGCATTTGGTTGCAAGCCGTCAGCTCATCCGCACAGAGAACCCCGTGGGAGTGAAGGTGGACATGGAGAAGCTCGGGGGTTGGCTAACCAAACGTGATAAAGGCTCTCATCGAGCTGTTGTGTCCTTGATTGGATTCGGTGGTGTGGGAAAGACCACCATTGCCATGGCACTGTACCGAGATTTCAGGAATGAATTTGATTGCCGGGCGTCAGTCACGGTGTCTCAGAACTTCGATGAAGATGAAATCCTCCGGGATGTTCTTGGGCAAATCAAACCAGCAAACAGTCAAATTAAGCCAAAGGAGGAGGGGCAGGAGGGCAACAACATAGGGAAGTTGAAGAAGAAAAACCTACTGGTAGACATGAAAAGCTCAGTGAAGCAAGTTGTGCCACTGCTCTTTGGTCACAGGCCGCAAAGCAATAATGGCAGCATGCAGAGTAAGATAGAAACAATGAATCGTGGCCAACTTATCGAAGAACTCAAAAAACGCCTTCTTGGAAGGAGGTACCTCAAAATCATTTCTTTTGTTTTTTTTCGAAATTACATATAGTAACGACTGTGCATATATGCATCAAGTGTCTGAATTGTAGTAAATCGGTGATAAAATTGTGTTGTTTACCACAGCAATTTCATTCTGAAGTTTGTACAATGGTGACTGAAAAATGTAGCTAGTGGAGCCTTGATAATTAAAGACCAAAAGATTAATAGTTAAAGCTGCACATGGAGGTTTCATCAAAGAAGTTGCACAAGGAATATTTGTGCAAATTTAATAACTGACCTCCAACTAGTTACAAATAGAAAATTTCGTACGACTATAAATTTATAAGTAAAATTTTCTAAAACGTACTAAAACTGGACCTACAATCTAGAAGCAAAAATATGAATACTTATGGGGTTACTCTTCGACTGTTCAGAGGATTACTTTTTTTCTCAGTGGCATGAATTTAAATAAGCTAGCACATTTCATCTCACTTGTACTTTGTTACCTTTTTCTTGGCAGGTATCTCATGTTGATTGATGATATATGGTCCGTAGAAACATGGGAGACCATTAGAAATTGGTTACCACATGATAATACAAATGGTAGTAGAGTAATAGTAACTACAAGATTTCAAGCTGTTGGTGCAGCGTGCTCAGAAAGAGATGGAACTGATTATGTCCATACAGTTAATGTTCTCAGTGATGCCGACTCCAAAAGCCTATTTCGTCAGAGTATTTCTGAATCCCCAAGCAGGAAAGAAGGTAAAGGAATGGATAAAATATCTCAAGTTGTTGGTACTGAGTCCTCCAAAGGAGATGGAACTGATCATTTGCGTTCAGCGGATGTTCCTACTTTTTCTAATCCACAAAGCAGGAAGGTTGGGGAGAAAGAAGAGGTCCATGAGGAGATATGGAAATACTGTGGGGGGCTGCCATTGGCCATAGTCACCATGGCTGGCCTTGTTGCCTGCAACCCCAAAAAAAAGAGTGATCATTGGAGTAAAGTTTGCAAGTCATTATTTCCAGAGCAAGTGGCTCCCCTTACATTGGAGGGGGTCACAAGGATACTTGATTATTGCTACAATGATTTGCCAGCAGATCTCAAGACCTGCTCATTGTACTTGAGCATATTCCCCAAGGGCTCAAAAATTAGTAAGAAGCGTCTGACCCGGAGGTGGATATCAGAATGTTTTGTTTCTGAGAAGGAAGGGCTGAGTGCAGAGGAAGTCGCAGAAACATACTTCAATCAGCTTGTAAGAAGGAAGATAATACGTCCTGTGGATCACAGCAGCAATGGAAAGGTCAAATCATTTAAAGTTAATGACATGATCCTGGAATATATCGTGTCCAAGTCAAGCGAAGAGAATTTTATTACTGTTGTTGGTGGACATTGGCTGATGCCAACTCCTAGCAACAAAGTCCGTCGACTCTCCATGCAAAGCAGTGGTTCCAAGCATGGGAATTCAACAAAAGGCATGAACTTGTCTCAAGTGCGGTCACTGACAGCATTTGGAAGCCAAAACCGACGACTCCCTTTCCATTCGTTCAATAATGGAATAATACAAGTGCTAGATCTTGAGGGCTGGAAGGGTTTGACAGATAAGCATCTGAATGACATATGTAAAATGCTTGTGCTGAAGTATTTGAGCCTCAGACGAACAGAGGTTTCTGAGATCCCATCAAAGATCGAGAAGCTCCAGTATCTAGAAACTCTTGACATAAGGGAGACAAATGTCGGTGTGCTGCCCAAAGCTTTTGGGCAGCTCAAACAACTCCGTAGCATGCTTGGAGTGAACAAAAACACAAAGAAGGCTTTGAAGTTGCCACATGAGAAGAACAAGGAGCCGATGAAGGCACTTCGTATCTTGTCAGGGATTGAGATCGATGAGGAATCATCAGCTGTAGCAAGCCTTCATCAGCTGACAGGGCTAAGGAAACTTGCCATTTACAAGCTCAATATAAGGGAGGGCGGTCAGACCTTCAAACAATTACGCTCCTCCATTGAGTACCTCTGTAGCTGCGGTCTGCAGACATTGGCAATCAATGACGAGAGCTCTAATTTTATCAACTCACTAGACACCATGACCACTTCTCCAAGATACATCATCGGCCTAGAGTTGTCTGGCAAGATGGAAAGGCCCCCACAGTGGATCAAAGAACTCAATAACCTCTATAAGCTGACCCTTTCTGTGACAGTTCTTCGGACTGATACTTTCAAGCTCATCCAGGACCTACCCAAATTGTTTACGCTCACCTTTACACTCAGTGCAGCCAAGGATGATTGGGACATAGTGGACATCCTTGAGGAAAATAAACAGCTTACCGACAGGGAGATCATTATTCCACCTGGAGGATTCAAGAGTCTAAAGCTGCTTCGCTTCTTTGCAACTCTGGTTCCAAGACTGAGCTTTGCAGTTACAGGAAAAGAGGTAATGCCAGCACTGGAGAGGATTGATATGCGGTTCGAAGCCTTTGAAGGGATTTACGGCATCGAGACTCTCAAAAGCCTCCAAGAGGTGCATCTCAGTGTTGGTAATCAAGCAGATGAAATAACCAAGTTCTTGGTAGATGATTTGAAGGACACACCCAATTACTTGGATCAAAAGTACGCCAGCAAGTGGCCAAAGATAATCACTGAGTGAAGAGATTGGAATATGTGACATTATCTTTCGGTTGACCAACAAATCATCTGGTATGTGTTGTATAATTAAGTGGGGGTTGTTTCATTAAGTCTGCGTCGCCTTCTCGAGGGCTAAATAAACAGACTGCATCCACTATTGATTCTTGTAATGCATATGTATGTGGTACTGTTGAATCCGTCACTGATTCTTGTAATTTTTACTTCTATTGTAATGTTACTTCCATTATTGATCTTTTTTAACTTACCTCGTGTTCGGTTATGGTATTTATATATCCCACAGTATGTGTTTGACTGAGATTTCTGTACCCTATATTTAACTAAATAGCAGTCACATGGTTCAGTTGGTGTATGGAGGTCTCTTGCCCAAAGTGCTGGAGTTTTAGAAAGGTAGATTGCCTTCAAATGCATGCAGGCAATGTAGAGTTTGAGTTAACCTATTTCACCAGGAACTCCCGCTTTGTACATGTTTGGTTGTCTTAGGGAAGCAAAGAAGGAACCCCAGTTTTGTATATCAATGCTCGAAGATTTCTTCTTTGCGACCATACTGTAGCAAACTACGCCATGTTTCGTGTTTGGAAACAGCCAATTTTTGTGTTTGGACTTTGGCAAAAATGTCATATATTTTATCATATGAATTCTCGAATGCATATAAGTTCAATACTACCAGTGACAATTTTTGAAATTTTGGCTGCTTATACATCCAAAATGTAAGGTTTCAGAGAGCTCAGGAGAGCAGATCCTACACATAGTCATTTATCACAGAAAAGGATGCTAATCTGAAAAACAAACCAGGAGCAGGGGGGAGAAAACAGGGTACCTCATCTAGTCATCTCGGCCGACAGAGCGAAAGAATGATGCAAAGTGTCAATATGATCTGCTGCCAAGAAACAGAGTAGTTACTACACCTCTTCAAATGTCCGTTTGTCAAGCTTGTTGATGCTTGAGCAGACCATTCTGAACTTCTCAGGAGGCACACCGCAGAACTCCAGCATGACATCAAGCAACTTTCTGTGATATAGTTTTATCATGCATGCCAATATCTAGCCTACCCAGCAATTCTGTCAGAACTCCATTGGCTCATATACTCCAGAGCAATGTCAAAGTCACACTGGTAGAATTCTCGGTGTCTTCCCTTTGATGGGTTATATATCTCCTGTATAGTTTTGCTATCTGGTACCTCCTCAGTGCATTATATATGTTATTCATGGCAAGATACCGGGCAAATGGAATGGTGAGATCATACCGCAGAGAGCAAAGCTCAGGCAGCCTGCAGGTTACTTGATGGTAAGATTTGAAAGTTCAAACATCTACTAGGAATGTGTATAATGCAACAAAAGGATTGACAGAGTTGCTGAATGCCGCGGTTCTAGGAGTTCCGGAATTAACCTTGTCTGAATAATAATTTATATGCAGAACCAGCACATGACAAATCACACAGAATTTAGGATGTTCAGCAACCAAACTCTTCAGTATCAAGTTCAACAGCACCGTGCATCTCAAATACACTTGTTATTATCAAAAGCGCACGCCGCCTTATGGCCATTTGATCTTCCCCAAAGACCAAAGTCACGTGTTCCGTAGTAGGAGTAAGGATAAACATTTATGCAGAGAATTGACTGGCTATTCGTTCAAAATGCTTCTGAAATCTACTGAATATAAGTAACAAAAAAACCGTGCGCAGTGGTTCATTGATTCATACCTTGGGAACTTTCGGCAATCTCCTCCTCGCTATTTGTTCAAGATAGCTTCCTTCACTTTATCAACAACCTCCAATTTGGGACACCGGTGAATGGGATCAAACAAGAGCGGCAGCTTTGTTTTCCCCAATCCGCAGCCACTGAAGAATCCACACGATTTATCCGATGAGCTGCTGCTGGCTGCGAGCTTCTCCCATAGCTCAGCGTCAGCAATGGTCCTCGCGCAGAGCCTCCACCGGGGGAAGCTCAGCTTGCACATCAAGTGCGCTGACCGCACGAGGCTTGTGGCCAGCCCCATCAAAGCCTCCTCCTCCTCCTTCCTCTTGCCGGTTTCAGCGGCAGCGGCGTCCCACTTCCTCAGCCTGACGGGAGCGTTGAGCTCGCCCAGCACATTCGCCATCACGGCCCGTGCAGGGAGGCGCCTCCTCCAGCTCCGGCAGCAAGATTGGAGGACCCGGTTAGGTCGGCGGCCACGCGGGCCTCGTCCTTGGCGGGCGTGGCGCAGCGCGCGGCCTCGCAGGAGAGCGGCACGGGAGACCAGGGCCGCGCAGTAGCCGAGGGCGGCGGCGGCGGCGGCGAGCGGTGGCGGCGGGGGGAGTCGCCATGGGAGTTCCGATGGGGGGCCATTCGCCTACAGTGCGTGGCACTTCACTAGGCCCAGCACCGCCTAATCTTCTTCTTTAATTACATTTTTTATTATCACTAGCAAAAGGGTCCGTGCCTTGCAACGAGTATGAAATATTTGTCTTTCTAGCCATCTCAAATGGACTACAATATACGGATGTATGTAGACATGTTTTAGAGTGTAGATTCATTCATTTTGGTCCGTATGTAGTCGCTTATTGAAATCTCTATAAAAACAATTATTTAGGAACAGAGAGAGTAATAAAAATATGGGCTGCAACCTTAAGATTGAGGAATTTCAAATTTTAGACTTGACATTGGTGCTCGTATTTTTCTGGATTTATTTCAGGCCTTTTGGCAATGTGTGTTCAGTCGGAGCTAGAATTTCCATCGGCTACATAGGCGTCTATAGTGACTTCCTCAATCTTAAAAATGATGTGCCGGTTCAGTGTATCAAAAGTGCTCATAGCGATAGAATGTGCGTGCGTGCGTTCATAAGAATGAATATATGTTTATACGTACGAGCGCTTGCGTTTGTACTATGTTTAAAAAAGGAAATAATAAAAACGCGAACACATGTGCTTGCTAAAACCGTATATAGCACTACTATAGGCAATTATTTTTCACCTAATAAATAAAGAGTAGAGCAAAAATTGTCGAAGGACATCTAGAAGGTATGTCATCTCATTCATATTTCACACTACATGTTTTCTTTGATTTTCTTACACTACAACTTGTTGGAGAACGTTGCAGAAAACAAAAATTTTCCTATGGTTTCACCAAGATCCATCTATGAGTTCATCTAGCAACGAGTCATCGGATGCATCTACATACCTTTGTAGATCGCGAGCGGAAGCGTTCAAAGAATAGGGATGATGTAGTCGAACACGACGTGATCCAAATCACCGATGACCAAGCGCCGAACGGACGGCACCTCCGCGTTCAACACACGTACGGGACGGGAGACGTCTCCTCCTTCTTGATCCAGCAAGGGGAAAGGAGAGGTTGATGAAGATCCAGCAGCACGACGGCATGGTGGTGGATGCAGGGCGTCACAGTAGCAGGGCTTCGCCTATACTACGAGAGAGAGACGTAACGGGGAGAGAGGGAGGCGCCAGGGGCTGGTGTATGAAGTCCCTCCTCTCCCCCACTATATATAGGAGGGCCAAGGGGGGGGGCGCCAGCCTGGGAGATCCAATCTCCTAGGTGCGGCAGCCAAGGGGAGGTTTCCCTCCCCCCCCAAGGCACCTAGAGGTGCCTTCCATCATTGGGACTCTTCCCTTATGTGGAACCCTAGGCGCATGGGCTTTTGGGGCTGGTGCCCTTGGCCCATCTAGGCCAAGGCGCACCCCCTACAGCCCATGTGGCCCCCCGGGACAGGTGGACCCACCCGGTGGGCCCCCGGGACCCCTCCGGTGGTCCCGGTACAATACCGATAACCCCGAAACTTGTCCCGATGGCCGAAACAGCACTTCCTATATATAATTCTTTACCTCCGGACCATTCCGGAACTCCTAGTGACATCCGGGATCTCATCCGGGACTCCGAACAACATTCGGGTTACTGCATATACATATCTTCACAACCCTAGCGTCATCGAACCTTAAGTGTGTAGACCCTACGGGTTCGGGAGACAAGCAGACATGACCGAGACGACTCTCCGGTCAATAACCAACAGCGGGATCTGGATACCCATGTTGGCTCCCACATGCTCCACGATGATTTCATCGGATGAACCACGATGTCGAGGATTCAATCAACCCCGTATGCAATTCCCTTTGTCAATCGATATGTTACTTGCCCGAGATTCGATCGTCGGTATCCCAATACCTCGTTCAATCTCGTTACCGGCAAGTCACTTTACTCGTACCGTAATGCATGATCCCGTGACCAGACACTTGGTCACTTTGAGCTCATTATGATGATGCATTACCGAGTGGGCCCAGTGATACCTCTCCGTCATACGGAGTGACAAATCCCAGTCTCGATCCATGTCAACCCAACAGACACTTTCGGAGATACCTGTAATGCACCTTTATAGTCACCCAGTTACGTTGTGATGTTTGGTACACCCAAAGCACTCCTACGGTATCCGGGAGTTACACGATCTCATGGTCAAAGGAAAAGATACTTGACATTGGAAAAGCTCTAGCAAACGAACTACACGATCTTGTGCTATGCTTAGGATTGGGTCTTGTCCATCACATCATTCTCCTAATGATGTGATCCCGTTATCAATGACATCCAATGTCCATAGCCAGGAAACCATGACTATCTGTTGATCAACGAGCTAGTCAACTAGAGGCTTACTAGGGACATATTATAGTCTATGTATTCACACGTGTATTACGATTTCCGGATAATACAGTTATAGCATGAATAAAGACAATTATCATGAACAAAGAAATATAATAATAATACTTTTATTATTGCCTCTAGGGCATATTTCCAACAGTCTCCCACTTGCACTAGAGTCAATAATCTAGTTACATTGTGATGAATCAAACACCCATGGAATTTTGGTGTTGATCATGTTTTGCCCTAGGGAGAGGTTTAGTCAACGGATCTGCTATATTCAGGTCCGTATGCACTTTACAAATATCTATGTCTCCATCTTGAACATTTTCATGAATGGAGTTGAAGCGACGCTTGATGTGCCTTGTCTTCTTGTGAAACCTGGGCTCCTTAGCAAGTGCAATAGCTCCAGTGTTGTCACAGAAAAGTTTGATTGGCCCCGACGCATTGGGTATGACTCCTAGGTCGGTGATGAACTCCTTCACCCATATTGCTTCATGTGCTGCCTCTGAGGCTGCCATGTACTCCGCTTCACATGTAGATCCCGCCACGACGCTTTGCTTGCAGCTGCACCAGCTTACTGCTCCACCATTTGGTTTGTGACTTAGAGTCATCCAGATCTGTGTCGAAGCTAGCGTCGACGTAACCCTTTACGACGAGCTCTTCGTCACCTCCATAAACGAGAAACATTTCCTTAGTCCTTTTCAGGTACTTCAGGATATTCTTGACCGCTGTCCAGTGTTCCTTGCCGGGATTACTTTGGTACCTTCCTACCAAACTTACGGCAAGGTTTGCATCAGGTCTGGTACACAGCATGGCATACATAATAGAACCTATGGCTGAGGCATAGGGGATGACACTCATCTCTTCTATCTCTTCTGCCGTGGTCGGACATTGAGCTGAGCTCAATTTCATACCTTGTAAAACAGGCAAGAACCCTTTCTTGGACTGATCCATTTTGAACTTCTTCAAAATCTTATCAAGGTATGTGCTTTGTGAAAGACCTATGAGGCGTCTCGATCTATCCCTATAGATCTTGATGCCTAATATATAAGCAGCTTCTCCAAGGTCCTTCATTGAAAAACTCTTATTCAAGTAGGCCTTGATGCTGTCCAAGAGTTCTATATCATTTCCCATCAAAAGTATGTCATCTACATATAGTATGAGAAATGCTACAGAGCTCCCACTCACTTTCTTGTAAACGCAGGCTTCTCCATAAGTCTGCGTAAACCCAAACGCTTTGATCATCTCATCAAAGCGAATGTTCCAACTCTGAGATGCTTGCACCAGCCCATAAATCGAGCGTTGGAGCTTGCACACTTTATCAGCATTCTTAGGATCGACAAAACCTTCCGGCTGCATCATATACAATTCTTCCTTAAGGAAACCATTAAGGAATGCCGTTTTGACGTCCATTTGCCATATTTCATAATCGTAGAATGCGGCAATTGCTAACATGATTCGGACGGACTTTAGCTTCTCTACCGGTGAGAAAGTCTCATCGTAGTCAACCCCTTGAACTTGTCGATAACCTTTAGCGACAAGCCGAGCTTTATAGATGGTCACATTACCATCCGCGTCTGTCTTCTTCTTAAAGATCCATTTATTTTCTATGGCTCGCCGTTCAACGGGCAAGTCAGTCAAAGTCCATACTTCATTTTCATACATGGATCCTATCTCGGATTTCATGGCTTCTAGCCATTTGTCGGAATCCGGGCCCGCCATCGCTTCTTCATAGTTCGAAGGTTCACCATTGTCTAACAACATGATTTCCAAGACAGGGTTGCCGTACCACTCTGGTGTGGAACGTGTCCTTGTGGACCTTCGAATTTCAGTAGGAGCTTGATCAGAAGTATCTTGATCATCATTAATAACTTCCTCTCTAGTCGGTGCAGGCACCTCAGGAACATTTTCTTGAGTTGCGCCATTTGCCGGTTCAAGAGGTAATACTTCATCAGTTCTACTTTCCTCCCACTTACTTCTTTCAAGAGAAACTCTTTCTCTAGAAAGATTCTGTTCTTGGCAACAAAGATCTTGCCTTCGGATCTGAGGTAGAAGGTATACCCAATAGTTTCTTTAGGGTATCCTATGAAGACGCATTTTTCCGACTTGGGTTCGAGCTTCTCAGGTTGAAGTTTCTTGACATAAACATCGCATCCCCAAACTTTTAGAAACGACAGCTTAGGTTTCTTCCCAAACCATAATTCATACGGTGTCGTCTCAACGGATTTCGACGGAGCCCTATTTAAAGTGAATGCGGCAGTCTCTAAAGCATAGCCCCAAAAAGATAGCGGTAAATTGGTAAGAGACATCATAGATCGCACTATATCTAATAGAGTGCGATTACGACGTTCGGACACACCATTACGCTGAGGTGTTCCAGGTGGCGTGAGTTGTGAAACTATTCCACATTTTCTTAAGTGTGTGCCAAATTCATGACTCAAGTATTCTCCTCCACGATCTGATCGCAGAAACTTGATT